TTTTTATCTTACTAATATTCTTGCTAGGGATAATATGATTAGATATGAAATAGTCTCAACCATTGGAGGTTTGAGTCATATACGAGACAAGGAAATTATATGATTTTCTCTTCTCTATTCATTCCACCTAGCTCCACTATTTTGTCCACAAAGTAATCTCAGAATTTCTTGGGAATTAACAAGTGCATGGATAAAGGACAAATATTCATTAAATAACATATCTTGTACGTTAAAAACTCTATTAATAGTGGAAGAATCATAAGGTACATATCTCTCTCTTACATATCATTTGAAAGCGGAAGCCTCCTTTCCATTAGCAAAAAATTCACTCACTACATTAACAATGGGCGCAAATGGTTCCTCATAGAAATGAGCCCAACCACTAATAGAAATGGTTTGAAGGATTCGTTAGGTTTGGTTAAGAAAATCACACTCAACGATCAAAGGTTTTGTGATTACCCAATTTATAAACAAACTTAAGTCTGTCATAGACGGAATCTCTCTTCTTCCCTGATTCAGGGTTAGGGGCCATTTATAGAAAGAATCTTAAGATTAGAGAGAAGAAATAGATAAAATACAAGGTAAAATGAAATAAAAAATGACATGCCAATTTATAAACATCAAAGTTTTGCGGCGCTGAAAGGTATGATGCCATGGTGCTTAATGCATGCTCTAAATGAAAATATAGTTAGATTTAAATATTTTAGTGGTTCAAGCCACATGGTGCAGCAATGTTAGTTCTAGGAAATCAAAACAACTTTTTGGAAACAGGCTACCACTATAGTGTTGTGTTAGTGCAGCATCAATCATGTCAGGACACTACTATGGTTCTATCAATGCTATAATGATGAAAATGATGTGGTGTTGCGATGTTAGTTCCAACACTTTAGTGCTTACCCAAAACTAAAAATGAAGATAAATGATGTGGTGCTAACTTATTTAATCATTAAAGCTCTTAAATTTTAATTTACAAAACCGTACTAAAATCAAGTCAAGTGCTACGGCACTGTGATATCTAGCACCGCAGTGCTGAAATGGCATAATAAAAATATGAATAATGACTTAACTATTAATACAAAATGTAATGTAACGTAAATAACAACAATACCAAATATGATATAGGTATATTATTAATAAAGTATGAGTAGGTCTAATTATTTAATTAAATCAAATAAATAGTAAATTTATAAATAAAATAAATTCTTCCCTAGTAATGACACCAAATATTTGATGGGGGTAGTAGAGTAATCTACAAAATTATGAAAATGATTTAGGACTCTATCAATCCCTAAACAATACTTTTGTTTTCTTGTATATAAAATAATAAAAACTCCGCTTAATATACAAAAATATACGTTCTATATCAACTAATATAGTGATAGAGTAGAGTATCAATCCTAATAAAAAGAAAGTTTACATGAAAATACTAGTGTTGTCTACTTCAAATATAAAAATTATTTTACTAAAATGAAATAAGTTTTGGTGGAGATTCAACCACTTAATTTAAAATAAAAAATAATTAATTGATACACTATTTATTGATGGAATATAAATACAATATATTTCCTAATTATTCTCTTTTATATTGATATTATTTAGAGCATATACATCACCAACCCCTCAGTCAAGCGTGAAGAGACAAAGGACATATTAAACTCTTTCAACCTCAATACCACTCTAAACTCCCATAGTCTATCAACCTATAAAAATCTTAGAAGAGTAAGTAAGGCATGTATTATTAAAATCCTCTCATGATAATTCATTTCTATAAATTTGATAAACAATAAGCATTATGCCTATGCTTGTATTAGACCAATCAAATATACCTAGTTGTGCCTTCTTTCCTATTCCTAGGCTCCATATTACACCTAATATTAACTACACATATGACCACTTGCACCATGGCATCCATAAAATGAACTATGTCGCAGTGTTGAAGGGTTTTCTCCACTGCGGCGGTTGCTGATACTAACCCATTGTTTAAAGAGTCGACGCATCGCTTCGCTGGAAAATCATGGCCTAGATAATAAAAACTATAGTGCATAGGCACTTATGATAATTGAGTGATGCAACTTCCATGTGGCACTCCCTTGACTTAGCAACGCTATAATTTGGTGTTGCGATATTGTGCAGACATATACTAAGCTTTGTGGCATTGACTCCTCCGACGTTGCAGTACTGGGATAGTTGATTGGGATTTTTGGAACTTCCTTCTCAGATGCTGCGACTCTATCAAATAGAGATTTAATGCCACCATGTCCATATTTGGGTGCTCCGGCGATATCAATGATGATGCCATAGTGATATTATGTTTGATGACGCGCGCTGTAATATACTAAAAAATTATGTCCATTTCCTTTATTTTATGCACAAACATAAATAAAATAACATGTTTTCACTAACAAATAAACACATAAAATATAACATTATTTACACTTATCACCCTCTTAACTCTTTTGTGAAAACCTTATTACTTTTATGATAAGAAAGGGAGTACATGAACTAAGCAGCTTCTTAGGAATTAAAGAAAAGACCGTTTAAAAATAGAAGATGATGATGAGGCATAGAAAAAAAAAACATTAATCATCGATTCCAAAGTGATGACCTAAGATAAACTATCATACAAAGTACTTAATCTTTTCATCTACACCTTACTCCAATTCCTCATCTCTCTCCCTTTTTTCCTATCACATAGAACATCTTAAATTCTATGCACATATAAATGTTTAATGAATGGCCATGCAATCTTTAGAATGTAGGGGCTAGGTTCTTATCATTGATCTTGATCTCCAAGAACTCTTATGCATTTCTTACACTAGTGTTGCACCATATGACATCACAAATGACTTACAATATAATTGGAACACAGTAAATATGACTCTTAGAAATACTCCACTTAATCATCACCTCACCCTACTAAGAACCATTGTGTTGAATGCTTGTGCTATCCAAAATGTTCTTCAGCACATTGTTATCCTAAAATTTGGTGCTAGGATTAACATTATGCCCCTTCAATCTTTAGTAACCTACTATTACATGATTGAACCCATTCAGTGTCAAAAATCTTTTAATCGAGTATATTAAAAATGTTACCACCATTAGGAATCCTAAAGCCATCAAAAGTAAAACCTTGCACTAAGACATATCATTGTATATATCTTAGAAACAAAGTATTATATCACATATCTCGAACCACTCGATCACATACCCTCTCATTATCTATTGCAAGAGGGGTAGGGCACTACAAGGAGGAGGCGATTAGGAGGTTGGAAAAAAAAAAAACAGAGAACCAACTCAACCCCCTCGTAGGCACATAAATATCCACAAGCATGTGGATTGAGAAATTTGCCTCTTGTCTTAAGGAAGAAGACTACATTTGATAAGGACCTCAACGGTGGGAGCAAATGCAGAAAAAACATAAAGAGGACAACACCTAGTTCTTGGAAAAATTTTCTCTCCTCCATGCATACTTTCACCCACAGCTATCACCACCTGATTAAGTACCATCGAATTTTTAGATTATTATTTTTTTTTTCTTTTGTGTTTTTTTATATTATCTTTACTCCTTTTTTTTTCAAAAGGGGAGTAGTATGTTATGATTAAAAACTATAATTTTAGTATGTTTTACTTAAAAATTGTACTTCTGTTTTATTTGAATATACTTCATTTATTTGAAAGTTATACTTGAATAATTATGTTGATTTAAGATATATATAAGTGTGGTGTTTATTGCTTTTATAATAATATTTCAGATAAAAGGAAAGACAGCCGACAAATTGATTTCTAGCACATAAGGGATGTACAAGAAGACTTCAAAAAGAATATTGTTGGCTAAAAAATTTAAGCACACTCACATGAGTGCAAAATAAATTACAATAGAAATTTTGAGAGTTAATTAGAACGCTTGATTCTCTATTTAATCATACTATATGATCTAAATGGTTCCGTATGATAAGAGTTAAAGTTATACAATTATAAAGATCATAAAGTATTTTAATTAACAGAAGAATAAAAATTCAAAATTTCGTAAAACTAATCATGCTATATGATAAATATCATTTTGTATGATCTACTATTTTAATTTAAGCCGATCATTATCTACTATTTTTAGAAATTGGTAAATTTAAATTTGAACTAAACATAGTATATGATAGCCTTCATATTGTATAAATACTTAAGATAACTACCTATTTTAAGCTTGATAATTAAGTCAAATCGCGACAAATTTTCATACTGTACAAATCAGATCGTACAGATCGAATAAACAAAGTTTGTCTTTATAATCCCAAATTGAGCGAGTAGAATTAACATACTGAGTTCACAAATTTAACTAGTTATATTGTATGACTTGAATCATACAATCCAATCAAAAGAGAATAGATTTTAGAGTTCCAAGCTTATTAAACTAATTGTACTATATAATCCTTTGACTGTAATATTATCAGGTCATCAAATTTAGCTAAACCTTAAAAAATCAAGAGAGTTCTTACCCTTCCATTAGAGCTTGTGACACTTTTGTAGGAGGGAATGGAGGATAGGAGAGATTAGGAGAAATTTTTTGGAGTTCAAAAAATTTGTATAAGATTCACCACATATGTTCTAGCTCAATCTATATTCTTTAATACTCTGTATTGTTGTAAAAGCTCTTGAAGAAGAGTTATGAAGAGACTTGGAGTAAAACCATTTGATGAGAGAAGAGATGTTGTAGAGTCTTGGTGTAAAAATTCTAAATTTCAAGTAGTTTTCAGAAGCAAAGCGGTGTGAGGATTTCTCTATTCCCATGTGAAAGAGAGAGACTTCTCTGTCTTATTATGAGAATAAAGGGAGAGAGTGTGTGCTAATAAAATTTTCAAATAAAAGACCTGAGTAGTGAATATACAACAAATTGAATAAACCATTATTACACATCTGATTTGTCTACTCTTTTTTCCAAATTTATTTCTTCCATTTTTTTAATTATATGCATAACCCTACTCCCACCTTTCACTTCAACACCTAAGTGCTTCACACAAGCTATATTGATTGCTTTAGAACTTCGAAAACATATAACAAAGACATTAATTAACATAAAGATTCTACACTGAACATATCATAGCACGCCACTAATAATAAGTTTGAAATTATTCCATAGACTCTAAAATAGTCCTTTGATCTTTGCTAACTAATTCTGCTTACCAAATAGTCGTCAATGCCAAACCGGTTTGCAGGCTATTTGGAAAGCAAAATTCTTCTCTTTTAGCATATCAGCTCTCTTCTATGCGAACATAGCCTTTCGGTTCACGAACTTTTGCTGGAGCAATGGCAGAGATTACCACAGAAGCTCCCAGTAAAATGACAACTAGAGCCGTGAAGTTAACTAAGAAGGCTTCAGTACCGTATTTTGCAAGGCCGCTATTCTGAAGGAAAGTGAGCTTCTCCAAGAATCCCAACTCTGCAGTAGCCACGCCTAATATGTAGACGAAGAGCCCAAACAAAACATGCCATGGGAGTGAAGAACTCCTCAGTCCAGCAGCCGCGCCAGGATAATAGAATGTCACAAACCCATAGATCCACTGTAGAAAAAATTCATGAAGCTAGTCATGAGATAGATTACCCAAATAATGGAATTGGCAAATCTATGTTGCTGGAAGCAGAATTTAAGAGCCATAAAAAATAACTTAGTTTCCATTATTCTGTTTTTTACAGAAATTGAATTCAAATTTATGCATTTTTACATTGTCTTACTTTATCCATTTCAAATCGAGGAATAAGTTCACAACCAAAATCATTCATTGGTGTTATATTACAGCATCTACTGAAGCTTTCAATGCCTTATCTACATGGCTACATTGCTAGTAGCCATACAACCATATTCCCTGATCATCAAGTCAGTGAGTAAACAAATGTGATATGTGGAATATAGAGAAAGTAAAGTGATAGTGGAAGACATTTTGCAACCATTGATTTTCAAAATGAATATTGATTTCTACATGTATTCAGAACTAATTACAAAAATTAATGTTTAATGACTATTTACATGCAGTAGACAATGAATGGATGTTATTGCTCTTTATATAATTATAGTTGCCTAAAACTCCCCTCATGTTAAGTAAGAGTGTGAGTGTCATCGACACCCAACTAAGTGAAAAATTAAAATAGCGCCTTGTTAGGGCTCATTTAGACGCTCGAAATAAAAATAAAAACTTATTTTAAAGATCATAAATTTATTAGATTTCATCATTTTATTAGACATAATTACAAATAACCATTGATTTAAACTAAAATTACCTCAGCCAAGTTTCCTCAGATTTTTTAAGGCAATAATCAAATTTAAAACGTAAAAATTTATTGCATTCTATAACTAAACTGGCTCAAGAAATCCTAAAGTATCAAAGACCAAGAAATTCAAGTTTGTTCATGATTATGTTAAACTTGAAAAGAAAATCGAAAGTCACAGTTTTCGCTATTGGTTGTGTAGCTATCTGTAAGTAGTCACATGCTACTTACAGCCAGTTACAACTGCCACTGCTTAGATCAAAGTATCAGGTATGCTAGCCTTGTTGCGCTATATTAAAGAGTTTACCAACAAAGCAGAAGACTAAAGCAAAAAAGTCTATATAAAGCATGAAATTGAAAAGTTGAAGAACAAACAAAAATTTCACTATTCACTTTGATAGAACAAACTTGAACCCATCTAACTACTGTTAGAAAAAAATCGAAATTAGTTTCAGAGAAGAAGGTTTACTTGAATGCCGTATAAGACGATGGTACCAAGACCAACCCAGGAATGAAGGCTATACAAATTAGCAATTCCACTGTCATTATGGAACTTGAATGCAGCCCAGATTCCCAGCACACCCAGACCAATTGCTATTGCATGAAGGATCAAATGGATAAGCTTCCTAACTTCTTTGCTCCAGGGAAGAACCTTATAGCTTATTATTGCTGAAGATTTTTTCACATAACAAGATAAAAGCAAAGCGAATAAGATCATATGCTGTCATTTGTTGGCCAAGTGTTTATGGACCTCACCCTATTTACATACCTTCACCACCAACGGCTATAAAACCAATGAGCATAAAAACTGGGTGAAGCTGAAAGAAGCAAATTAACAAAAGTAAGATATTAAAAAAAATGATGGTAAGAGAAATGTGAACAATATATTTGATATCCAAATGTATTTTACAGTGATGTGACACAGTAATGTTTTATTTGCTGGAAGACAATCTTACAAAGCCACCATAGTCAAATCTGCCATTGTCAGACTAGTAATAGTGAAGACCGAAACTTAAAGGCATAAAGATCAGTAAGGTCACTGCAAATCGAAATTCAACTATACTCGATACTAGCCTCGAAGAAGAGCAACTTCATCACAAATTTCCTTAGAAATTCAAAACTCAAATCCCTCATCGGCCGCTATCATATAGGAAAATCCAGCTTATGAAAGACAACAAACCTAAGGATCGAGAGCTTTTCTCTTCAGAGTGAATAAATAACTTTCTTAAACATTCAGTTAAATCCTAATCTGCTTATTTCAAAGTCAAACATGGGAATTAAAAGAAGAATAGCACAAAAAAAGAGCATCTTATTCACAATTGATGCTTATCAAATTGCTTTTTCTACCCTCATGATTAAAGAAGAGGAGATATTCAAGAACAAAGTAGGAAAAAAAAAAGAAGCAGAAAAAGAAGAAGAAGAAGAATCGAGAAATCGATTGCCTCAAATTTTGCCCGCCCTTTTTTCCCAAAACATCGCAAAATCCAAATCCCAAAAGAGAATCGTTAAAAGAAAAACATAAGAGGAACAAATTTTCGAAAGGGCCGGGATATTGTTACGTTAAAGATGAGGTTTTTGTTGACCGCCTCAAAGGCGAGGCCGCCGCGGAAGTTGATGCACCAAACGAGAACAAGCACCGCCGCCGCCACTCCGAGAAAGTGTGAAGCGTACGTAAACGGTGCAGCCGCTACTCCGATCGGTCCCGCCATCTCCTTCGTTTCCTCTCCTCTCCTGTGTCGTCCCCTAGCTACCATTCAACTTATACCAGTCAAGTGGCCTCGTGGCCGCCACGGTGCGCAGTAAATTCATACTTTATTTGGACAATTATCCTCTATTTTAATCTGACATAGTATTACTTTATTTCCCACATAAAATTATACTTACAAATATCTAAATTTCATCCTTTAAGCGACAGAATTTATTAAGAACAGGATTTATTAATCCATCCTTAAGAGCTAATATAACGTAATTTTTTTTGTAATTTTCTTTAAATAGGCTAATTTAAACTAAAGTTCCATATATAACAAAGAAAGATTTTTAAATATCTTCACAAGCTTAGGAGCAATTTAGTTGGACAAAAATTAAAATACGAAATAAAATGAATTACAATATAAAAGAAATGCGGTATATTGAAAATGTTTAGAGTTATTTGGATGAGAATAAAATAAATATATATATGACTATTTTTTATTTGACTTTAAGTTAAATAAATGTAATAATAGAAAGCTCAATGATAGAGGTATATAGTGGTCAGTATAGGTGGCAGACTATGTAGGCAACCAACATCAAGGAGCGGTGGTGAGAATGCTGGGGGGAGGGGTGGTAGTGGTTGCAGTCGATGACTCGCATGTTACAATGCTTTACGGCAGCAATGGAAAAGAAGTTACAATGTGTTGGAAAATCGGCCTAGTCCAATAATTTTCAAATATACAAAAATTTAACTTAAAGTTGATTTCCAAGTATTTTAAAATATTATTTTGAATTTCTTTTATTTAAACCAAATATCATTATTTATAAAATGGTTGCATTGGAGTTCCTTACATTTCTTTTCCATCAAACCAAACAATTATATTTTTTCTTTTCCCTAACCTTATTAAAACATAATATTTCCTACTTCCTTGTCTCCTTCTTCTTTACATTGATAAAGATGAGTATGAGCTCAATATCATATAAAAGGGACAATAATGAGTGATGACTTCCCATGATTGCGAATTTGTACATACCTTTGTCTACTTGCTAGAAAATCTGCTTCCATAGAAATTTGAGCTAATCTCTACATGGAAATCTTATCTCAATAAGGGAAAAAGAAGAATATGAGTTGTGGAAAAGATTTTTTCTTTCTAGCTTCAATACTTAAATGGAGAAGAATTGTTAAAAATTAAGCAAGGAAAAAGAGAAAGAAAAAATTAATGGGAGGCATCAAAGAGCTAGAGGAGACAATGTTGATTGCTAGAGATAATGGAGCAAAGATGGAGAGGAGTTTCATAATGTTAAACTAGTTTTGGGTTCCAGAAAGGTGGAAGTAGGGCTTGTTTAGCTGATTCTCATAATAGGTAAGCATGTTAGCCTATGGTCTTATTATATGATGAATATATGGGTGAAAATACCTTTTTAATCATCTTAATTAACAAATTGGATGGTAAAGATAAACAATGCACTTCAGTTATAGACTACACATTATTAAATCATATGTAAGGTATGTATGCATCATAATATATTGATAATATAAAATATAATTGCTCCTAGTTTATTTTCCAACTTTGTAATTAATAGTGAATGACACATGGAAAACAATAAATTTTAGTGTACTTGTGCAAAATAATAGGAATACATATCTAGAGAAAGGGTGATGGAAAAAAATCATCATTCCATTAAATAGAAAAAAATCTTCACTACCAAAAGGCCTTTAAAAAAAAAATCAATTCACTTTGTTTGGAAAGCTCGTTCACCTAACTTTGAAGAAAAATTATGGCTTGTTTTTCCCACTTTTGTTAATCAGCTTATAGCCTCGTGCATGTTTATGTATATAACTGATAGGTATCATAATATGTTCCTCTCAAGGAGCCCGGCCATGCGAAGCATGTTCTTAAAGTATCACTCACCGAAGGAAAGCATTGCTAAACAAAGCAAGATCCAACATCAGCCTTTTGGAAAGTAATCACTCCCCTTATAGAGATCACAACATGCAAACTTGCACTAGAAGTTCAAATCAAGAGTTCATTTGTTCCCAATGACCTCTTTTAGAGGAGTTGACTAGATCCATCACCACCTTGAGAGGCACTCACCCCAACAAAAAACCTTGTAACATTATGATTGTTTGTTATCAAGAACATGACCCTATTAAAGTAATCCTGGTCAAGCTATGCTAACTATAAATAATGTATTATTTTATGTGTTATATTTTCAATAAAAATATGTTACTTTAGCTGTGTTGTGCATGAAAAATATAAAAAATGGTACAAAATTCTAAGTATCATGCAGCGCCACTACATCTAATAAATCAACATTGTAATGCCATCAAGGACACCACCGGAGTGCAATAATATTGACATGGCAGCACAGACCTCTCTATTTGACAATGATGCGGTATCAAAATGGTTAGCTTGGCAGTGCCATGTTGATTGTCTTCAAGCGTCGCGGGGTCACATTCTATCACGCCTTGCACCAAATTTGCCACTGAGTCACCGCAGAGTTTGAAAGTCAACAGAACCGTGGCCTAATAGTTATAACTTTCAATGGATACAATCTTCTAGCGAAGCGACGCGGTTGTTCATTAAGTAACTAATCCATGTCAACAAGCATTGCAGCGCAGCAAAGACATCAAAGCATCAGCACTAATATAATTTATAGGCATGGCGGCGCAGATCTTTTAAGCACCATAGTGCCAATTGACTAATTTGTGTTTCTTATAAATAGTCATTGTGTTATGTTTGTTAAGGACTTTAATCACTTGTATAATATTAGTACTTTTCATAGTACTTCTTCAGATCTCTCTTAGAGTCAATTCTAAATGAGACTAGAAAAGTACTAGATGCAATCCTTAGAGTGTTTTAATGAATATTTATTGGAGCAACTCTGTATGCTAAGGAAGAAGAGTGTATAGGATAAATATTGATTCTTTCTTGGTGATATCATTCTTTTGTATTTTTTTTCTTTTATGATTTCAATGAAAATGAGTTTGCTTATCATTTCTTTAATGTGTGACTAATTCTCTAGTTTTAGATTAATGATGTATATAATATATTAAGTACTAATGAAGATTATTGGGCCATAAAGTTAAATGATGTTTTCAATATTATCCCGCTCTTTATTTAATAAACATAGTGGCCATATGTGTAGTTAAAAACTAGTGTGATGTATAGCTTCCATAGAGAAATGTAAGAATAATCAAGAATATTTAAATTATATGTTTGTATACTTAGACATAGGATGTAAAATATGCTAGGTTGTTAACGAGATGAAATAACTATAGGAGGTCAACATATATCTTCTTCGCTCCTACAAGCTCGACAGAGATCTTGATCATATGCTCTGAATCTCATTACAAATAAGAATTACATTAGAAAAGATATGCAATTTACATTCTTCAATCCAAAAATTTTATATAGATATTGTATATATTATTTTACTTTTCTATTCAATGATTAAATTTCCACAAAAATTATTTTAATTTTAGTTGGATAATTATATAATTAGAGTAAATAGTAATAGTCGATTGTTAAAAAACATACTGCCTCATGGTTTCGATACTTTACTCTATCACTTTAGTACTTGATTCTGCTTGTATACTTGCATATATTAAGTGGAGTATACTATTTTTTATATATTGAAGAAAACCTAAGTATTGTTTAGGATAGATGGAGCCTAAAAAAATTTTATACTTCAAAAGTGCACTCCATAGCCCCGTCAAGTTTTTGGCGGGGAAATATTTTACTTTTTGCAAATTTTAACTATATTGTATAATTAATTGCATGATTAGGCATGCTTAAATCCTTTATTTTATTTATTTATTTGTGATTGCATATTAATTATTGCATTTATTGTTATCTTGAATAGTTTTTATTATGTTTTGTGTTAATAAGTAGAGCGTCAGAGTGCTGCATGTTTGAGCGCTTCAATGCTTAGTCATTCAAGTGAAAAAATGCATGCTTATATGAAAAGTTAGAAGAATATTTTATGGTTATAACTTTAATTGTAAAAATTTTGTGAGCCTCGTAGCATTATTAACTAAAGCCACAGCATTGGTACACATCATAATTGCTTCATTTATAGCACCACAGTAGCTCCCTATCATAAATGTCGCAGTGTTTCCATGTGTCAAACTCATAGTAATTGTCTTTTTCAAAGCAATGCTCTAATTTCCAAAAACTAGTGCCACTGCACCACGTGGCTTGAATCATTGCAGCACTTGTTAGTTGACCATTATGTCATTTTGTACCTATATTGAGCACTATAGCATTGTGTCTCGCAACGTCATAGCGCTTCATCATGTTATAAGTAAGGGATCCATTTTCATTTCATTTACACCTTTCATTCTTTCATTTCCTTCAAACTCTTCTCTTTTATTTGAAATTCTCTCTAGAATAATGGCTCCTAAGATGTTGGCAAGAACATGACTTCTTCTTCTTTTGATAAGAGCATATTCATCTCTGTTGATGTTGAATCTAGATTTACTGACTAAATTGTAAACAAGCAACTGATTCCAGAATGAGATTTTGAGATTTTTACTCTACTCATTATGTAAATCATAGCGAGTAGAGGCAAGGAAAGTTTTTATGAATAGCCATATATAATTATTATTATTATTGTCCAATAATTTTTACAATTAGAAAAGGAACAAGGCATAATAGATGTTATATTTGGGGTAAGTGAATCCCTTTTGATTTAGTGGCTATTAACAAAATTTACAAACTTAGAGACATTAAATTTGATGAGTATAATGCTTTTATTAATACAACTATAAATCTTGAAGAGATCCTGAATATTTTGTGTGAACCTAATTATGGAGCTTAGTAGAAAAAGAAAGAAAATGAAATCAACAATTTCCATGCCTCTTATATGACTCAAACTTGTAAAGACTAATATTATTTCATTTCTACTTGTTTGTTACCCAATCAAAATATCAGTGAAATCACTTGTGATCATGCCCTTTTAAACTATTCAACTCAAATGAGATATTCCATTGATGTAAGAAAACTTATTTTTTCCTCTCTTATATATATCATTAGGGGTACCACATCTGTAGGGTTAGGGCGCCCTTTTCTTGTATTT